ACACTGGGATTCCACATGAGGTTAACGAGGGGGCGTGGCACATGAGAGGAGCGGACGATCGGGGCATGACACTATTACAATAGCTTACATCTACTACAATTACGAAACAGTCAACAACCAATGTGCAATGCCTTTGCCTGATGACAATTTAACAGATGCAATAGAACTATCTATGATACAGTGCAATATATGTTCATCTTATTTTATATGAACGTCAACCTGCTGGAGTTTACCCACATGTGCAATAGAACTATGACTATGCAGTGCAACATAGTATACTTCACATACTGCTCATTCTACTGATAATGTGCAATATAGTTTTTTCTTCTCTTCAAGTTACATTTATTTAAACTTCTTACAGAGTCACTTATGTTACGAGGTAACTTAGTATTTTATTCTAGTATTGTATTTTAGTATTTTATTCTACTTCATTGTATTGTTCTTGTGTGTTGTGCAGTCGTAATGTAAGCAATTTCCTCCGGGATCAATAAAGTTTTCTGATTTCTGATATTTGTAAAGTTTTTTTCAACTTTATTTGGATTGATAGTTGATGATGACTTTCAGTTGATCAGATGAGGTCATTAACTGTATATATAGATCCTTTCCCCCCGATACCGTATACTAGATCATCTGATGGAAGATCTTTGATTTTGGGTAGATGGAGTCTAGGCTATATGTTTTATTTTATTTTTATTTTACATTTTCCTCATATATAAAATCATGGACACTCAAAAGGAGAAATGCAACTTTGTAATCAACTGTCAGATAAGAGCCGGCGGCGGTACTGACAAGCGATGTCTCACAGTCAGATCTAAACTGACCTTGATCCGTTAATTGCCCAGTACCTTATCAGGCTGCACCAAGTCTGGAACTGAGTTGCACTAAATTTTTGGTGGGATTTAATCGGAAAGCAGATTTTCCGTCCGGTAGCTCCTATATGCCCTTTTACAGTTTCTCTATCTTTCATTTAAAAAGACGAGAATGAGGCACTTTATAGCGTTGTAATCAGAATATGCTAACTCATTGTTTAAACTATTTTCCAGTTCAGTCAAATAATTGCAGCCGATGTAAACAATGTACATTTGCTTTAATAACTAAATCTATTTTCTGGCAATGGTTGAAGCTTTCAGTAAGACGAATTTCACTTTAAAACTTGGGCCAAAAGATGGAGATATTGTCCTGTTCGTGGTCGTGTTTGCTAATAATGTCATGCAGGTACTAGGATATTAAAAGCAGAATGTTTTAAGGGTGCATTGTGAAAATGAACGACGTCTCCGGGATAGTCTCGCAGGTGGGTGAGAGATTACAATTGTAATCTCACAGCACAATGGAATAAATTGAGATCTGTCTTTTTTGCAATTTATTTTCAATCAGCGCTAAATAATATGAGCGCTTCTCTGCACTGATGCTTGTTGCAAGTTAGTTACAGGTTAATGTATGCGCTCTAATTTCGTTGCGAAATTACACAACCTCAGAAAGGAAGATTCGATTACCTGTCATAATCTCTCATTAATCATGATTTCTGTAGCTATGCAGCGCCATATACAGTACGGCTGGCATAAGTTCCATATGGATTTTCCTTAACCTAATTATCACTATCTAACGCATATCTGGATATTGTGCCGCAGGCGCTGCTTTTATTAAGTTTATTAAGTAGTTGCTGGTGTCTGGAGAGGGGGCGTCTGTCTTTATTCTGAAGTGTCAGCTTCCTTGGCGTGGTTTCCATCTGCTTCCTTAATTGTTCAGTTTAGGCTGATGGTGCATTCTGATGTATACCATTAATATAAAATACCATTTCTTCGCAGCAATCCTATGGGGGTGAATAATGGCTTTAAGAAAGGTCTTGAAAGCTATAGTAGGTATTTATTAATACCATAGAAAATGATATATGTAAATACACAGCCATTCTTTTTTTAATAACAGCCAAATTAAAGCTCCTCCTCTTTATGTCCAATTCACACCTTGCCAGAGCACAGCTCCGCCTCCATATGTACAAATTGCATCATGCCAGAGCCCAGTTCCATCTCCTTATGCCCAAATCACACCTTGCCCGAGCCCAGCTCTATCCCCTTATCTCCAAATCACACCTTGCTGGAGCACAGCTCCATCTCTTTCAATGTTAACCTTTTTTTTTTTTTTTTAATTTTGTTCACCAGCTTTACTGTTAATCTTCATTAATAGCTCTGATCAAACATTAATTTGCAGAGTGGATAGGATATTCCTGCATGTACGATGCCTTAATTTCTGTCCCATGTATTTTGACTTATTTCATTTACTCTGC